ATTTTTAATAAATGTAATTTAAACATCAAACTAAATACTCTAATACACAAACTGGGTTTATATTTTAAATAAATCGGTGGTGAATCACTTAATGAAGCAAAAATCTACTTGTAACATCTTAATCATCACTTTAGCTGCTTTCCTCTGAATCATCTCTATTCTGTGGAGAGCAGGAGTTACCTAGGAAACGCAATGCAGTGTGGGCCTGGAATTGCTGGGCACAGACACAGAAGGGAGAAGTTTTGGCTTGCACATTTCTTACTTTTGAGATATTATCATTATTATTTTTTACTTTATAGCAATAAACTTTTATCTCCTGGTCTCTGATGACATCTATGCCTACCCTTAATCAGGCTTTCTCTAGTTTTTATTTGTGCAGGTTACGGTACTTAAGCATAAATACTTGGTTACATCTAATTTTACTAAACCTCATCTAAGTTCAGTCTTTGAATTCTTTTGCATTTTCTGAAGCATTTATAAACCCATCCAGTTGGAACCATAAGGAACCTGAAGACGCACCTTTACTGCTGTTCTCCAAATGATAAAAAGCGATATCTGAAACCCATATGGACACTGAATCATACCAGAGATGCTGCATGCCCACAGGAACCTTAATGCAAACTAGAAAAACTAGGAGTTCCTTCCTCCGGGCAGGTAAGACTAGGAGCAGGTGCATATGGGACGGTGAACAAGAGCTGGCCCATCTGCTCCCACAACCTGGGCCTCCTCCTGTATCATGTCACAAAGAGTCTTAATTTTCTTGGATTACGCCTGTAGCCCTTGAACCAGGGTCTAGGTTGAGCCTCTCGCTGGGCATATTATGTACGATGATAAAGGCCAAAGATTTAGGAAAACTGATTAATAGCTTAGGGAAAATTTAAACTTAGCAAAAAACATAAATGTTAGGTAAACTTGAACTTGTGGAGATAGCATATGGGGCTTAAAAGTTTTGGGTTTGGACAGAAGTGGATTTTAATTCTAATTTCACTGAACTCCATTTTTTGAAAATTCTGTAAAATAATGAAAATACCATTATTTCATAGACTCTAAGACTACATCTACCTTAAGATCTATTACAGAGGTTTTTTAATGTGAAAAAATAACCAAATGGGATGACTAAGCGTATTCTCATATCACAGGTATAAAGAGTGTAAAAATTATGTGTGTTAGAATCTATGACGTATGATAATACATTTTCAGGTTTGGAATATTTCCATAGACTTTACTGGTTGAGCATCCCAAATCTGAAGATTCAAAATCCACCATGTGGCTCTCAAACAATTTCAGATTTCAGAGCATTTTTGATTTTGAATTTTTGGATTTGGAATGTGCAACTAGTACCCACCTTAAAGGTAATGTCTTCCCTGTGAGGATTAAATGAGATAATGTAGGTCAAGTTCTCAGCCTGCCATGGAGCAAGGACTCCATAAATGGTGGAGGCTGCTATTGTCCTTGCTGTCCTTGTTATTTGAGGCTGGCAACAATAGAAACAAAAGGGTATATTTAGCTCAGGTCATCATAATCTAGCAAAATGAAATGGAGATTATCTTTTTTCTAGGAAAAGATACCAGAAGCAGTAAACCTCAAGCAAAAGTTGAATGCAGAACATACACAGAGCTGAAAAAGAGGAAAATAGTCCTTTTTATCCTGCTGATAAATCTTAGAAATGATTTCCTGAATCCCAAATGTATGTTGGAAACATTTAAAAGAGTATTGTTCAAATCGTGGGTTGGAGTCCTTCTTTGAATTAGGAAGTAAAGAAAATTGCCAGAACATTTTGCGAGTGTTTTCAAGTGTTTGTTTTTTATCTCACCTTTCACTAACAGCTCTTCTAGTACACTGCCTATGATTTTTGAATGGATTACCAAGCAGCTCACTAGTGAAAGCCTCCTGGGCGGCCTTCTGCGGTGGTCGTTTTCATTTAGAAAGGCCTGGGGGGAGGAAGAGGTGCCAGGGGTGTCAGTCAAACTCTTTCACCCGCCTCCAAAGCAACTGGCCCTGGCCTGCTTTAGGAGTGGGCCTCACACCAACGAACAGCCTGTTCATTGTCCTTTGATGCCGAAGACAATGCAGCCAGTGGTGGGACACTGGAAAGGTGAGTGCCAGGATCCTGGTCAGTCAGAAAATGCCAGCCCGATGCCACTGCCTGTACCGCAGGTGGCTTCTTGGCCCGTGGTTGGCCTCACTGCATTTTGGAACACGCAGCGATGGAGGTAGAGTGTGTATGAACGCGCTCACAGCATAGATGGTGTGATGAAGAGGGGCCGGATGCCCTTCTAAATGGGACAGGTAAAGACAAGGACAATGGCTCTCCTATACAAACAGAGACCCTGTTATTTTTCAGGGAGAATCTAAATTGGTTATTTCTTCCATTTCTATTTCAACTTATTTCCATCTCAGGATTGATGGCAACAGTTTACCTACCTAGTTGGGCTGGTTTCTAAAAAGGAAAGGCGTAATATGGACTGACCTTGTAAAAGTGGGATATTATGTGGTCACTACTGAATAGGAAGCCTTTAGGGGTTTTTGAGAATGAAACTCAAGAGGCAATTCTAGGTCACAATATCAGAAAAAGCAAGTTGCTGTGGAGACAGTGGCCTCTGAATCTCTAAACACGTGGGTTGGCCAATCCATAGAGCACAGCACAGATTTGGTTCCCTCTCCGTGCGCCAATTACAAATGCACTGCCTGGCATTCCAAGCCCGCCTCAGGGCCCAGAGGCAGGATGTGGCCCAGTTGGGAGTGGTGCTGAGTCACCATCCCATGTCATGGTACATCTGTGCTGTGATCCTGCCTCCTGGATTCACTAAGGCACTCCTTGGGGATGGCAGACTCCACTTGACTTATTTTTTCCCTAGGAAAACTGCAATCACATCATAAATTTCCTAAAAAACATTTTCCTTCAAGTTTGTCTTGGAAATTTTAAATATGTGTACCCATTTCACCCATACTCCCTTAATCTTGACCTGATGTCTCAGATACTATGATGGTGGCTACTCCTTGTGGTCAAGAACTGCAACCCACCAGGGTCTTCTTGGATCAAGAACCCAATTTGAAAGGTGGTGGCCAGGAGGTGGGCCTTAGTTTGCAATTTGCATAAGATGAAGAGGGAGTGCCATTGGTTTTACTAACACCACTGGACCAGCCAATTCTCTGTTAGCAATGGAAGCTTGAGTCTCAAAACTGGTGTGAGCTCTACTCATTATTTTCTGAGCACAACTTGCATAGATGTAGGTCACCCTCTGACCTGCCTAACCTTGAGAATATGGCAAACTGGATCCATCAACACAAATTTCTACACCAAGATTATGGAGAACTTGGGGTCACATAATGTTGACAGATGGGCCTGGATCCACTGAAATCTGCTTCCCTTTTCCTCTCTGCTTCCTCTCCTTTCCAGGCAGCCCATGCCAGCTAGAACGCCCCTACTCTGCTTTCCAGGACTGGGCTGCCCCTCCCCAGGGCCTCTGCTTTCCTGCCTGAAGCAGAGGGCACAATAGCTTAGTATCATTTTCCTTATAGGTTTGGGTCACTGACCTCTTTGAGAGCTGGATAAGCTCTAGATATTATCTCCAGAAAAAACACACATATCTTGAAGCCCCAGTTTTTTACATGCAGTTTTAGGGAGTTGGGGAATCAGGTCAAGAAACAGTTTTGCAATTTTTTTTTTTGTGTGTGTGTGTGTGTGCCAGGAATCTTCTAATAGTCTGAAGAAGATATTCTCTTTCTCTGAATAATGATTTTAGGTGAATAAAATACATAGGCTTATGGGAGAAACCAATTATAATGAAATAATTTACAAAATTTCGAAACTTTCTGATATAGAAATACCTATGTACTTTTATCTAAATGGATTAGATAACAAGATCTAATGGTAAGTCTAGTAACTACTGCAATTTTGAAGTACCGATGAGAAAAGATGTTTTACAAAGATTGCCTCATTGTGAAATGAAATTACTGTGATTTCCACTGATGGCAGGTGCTGCCATTTCTGCTGGGGTCTGCTGTCGACATTCATCACTGAAGGCAGTGCTAAATTTCAGCTTCAGGTTCGTGAAAATCCAGGGGCATGTGTCACCATCCATAATTCTGAACTTTAGGTGAACAACCCCTGAGATGCAAAGATTCTCTGTGACTTGGGGCCTGGCAGCCGCACCGTTCTGCCTTTATCACAGAGGGAAACACGGGGCTCTGTTCCCAGACTTAGATCAGCTGAGGCTATCATTCTACAGGCAAGGCAAGTCGGGAGGACACTTACAGTAGCTTCTGTCCTGCCCCTGTGGAGAGAGGAAGATGGGGTGGGGTGGGAACTGAGGGGTCAGCTGCACACAGGTAACTCCTGCTTTCCTGAGCAGAGGTGAAGGCAGAGAGATTTCCTCTGTGAAGCTGCCTCAAGTCTGGAAAATGCCTCAAGTCTGTCGAGTCTTGTAGCTTAGGATATGGGAAACCTCTTCCTCTCACTTTGAACAGGATTTGAAGCCCCCAGGCACCAAGTTTGCCACTTGCCTTAACGAAGCCTTTCCAGACATGCTCTCGTAAGTGGGGGAGCCCTGCTCGGCCGCTTGTGTCCCAGGCAGACACACGGGTTTATTTTTGCTTCTCTTCCTCCCACGGCTTTATGAGTGGTGCTGAAAAATGCATACCTGGGCCCCAAATGCTAAGCTTGAGGTTTGGCAGGTGTAAAGGTGTGCACAACACTTGGAAATAAGAAATAGCATCGCTATCATCATACAGTAATGACAAGTTGAGCCACTGTCAGAACAGCAGGGAAAGGCGGGGCTTTCTCATTGGTGTGCCAGAACTCAGGCCTGCATGAGGGTGAGGAGTTCAAGTTCAGATACAAGGAAGTGCGTTCCTGATGGGTGGTGGAAACTCCCCAGGAAGAGCCCCTGAAAGCAGCTTCCTTGGCAGGGTCTCTCCTAGAACTAGATGTCGTGGCTACTCGGATGGTCTGACTGTCACCATCTGTCAAAGAGGCTCGCACAGTATCATCTGCTTACCAATTTTACTTCTTGCTTCATTTATACTTTCTCCCAAGGCCTTTGCTTCAGAAAACCTAGAGGGGAAAAAAGAGAAAAATTTACTTTTTATGTTCATCCTACATTATGTTTGAAAAAGAATAGATTTCTGAGACATCTGTAGACTATTATAAAACTTTATTAAAAGACATAAAGGAAAATCTAAAGAAAGTGAAATATATTAGGCTTAAAAATAGAGATAAAGTTTGTATTATTATAGATACCATGAATTTTTAGTCTTTCTAGCCTAGAATTTTCATTCTCATATTCTTTAATTTATGGTTTTGATTTTCTTTTGTTTTATGCTGCAAGGGTACCAGAATAAAGCATGCAGTAAGGTTTCTGCGCTGTGATCTATCAATCATGGTACCAAGATCTTAGAGCCAAAAAAATACATACTTAAATAGTTTTTTTCCTGATTATAAAGTAATAAATCATAGATCAGCAAACTATAACTGTTCATGAGACAAATCTAGCCTGCTGCCTGGCTCTGTAAATAAGGTTTTCTTGGAGCACAGCCACACCTACTCATTTCTATACCGTCCACGGCTGCTTTTGTGCCACCACAGCTGAGCTGAGTAGCTGGGACAGGGACCTCATGGCCTACAAAACTGAAAATAGTCACTCACTGGCCCTTTTCAGATAAAAGTTTTCTCACTCCTGCCATGTATGATTATTGAACCAGAGTTTGAAAATATAATTGAAGAAAAAAATTCAAATAGTTCCCTACACAGAGATAAGCACATTTTCATAGACATACACATCTAGGTTTTTTTTTTTTTTTTTTTCCCTAGCAAGTTTCTATAAAGTGAGCTCATACTATACATAGGATTTTGTGCCCTGATTTATTTTGTTTCACTTAGCATTTTAAGTCCTTCCCTACAGCATTAGAAACTCTGATTTTTGATGAATGCATACTAGTTCACGAGATGGTTATGCTGGTGTTGAATCAACGAGGCCTCTATATTTTCTAGCATCAATTCATGAGCTACCTACAACAAACCCAGCAGTGCGCTCAGGAAGGACCTGGCCTCTAGGAGAAGCAGGTAGTTCAGTTCTCCACACACAGTGGACCTGATGAAATGTTGGTTGCCTTCCCTTCCTCTCCTTTCTGCCATGAAGTTAAGGAGGTAACTGAAAACCTATGAAACAAAATGCACACTACGTGGTGAGAGTAAATCGCTGTGTTATCTTGGGAAACCACAGTGATGCCATTAGAGTCGGACTAGGAAAGGGCCTTTCCCTGAGTGGGGCCAGGAAGTAGGAGAGCTTTGTGCATAAGGTGGGATTAACCGGGGTTTTGTGGCTGCATAGGAGTTTTCAGAAAACTTTTTATTCTGAAAATTTCCAAATATACCCCAATAGAAGAGTAGGACGAGCCCTCACATACCTCGTGCAATTTTATTTCGATCATCTCTATCTCCCCATCCTCTTCCCACCCTCCCAGATCTTTCTGGATCCCACTGAATCCCAGCTCTCCTCATCACTGTCTCATCCATAAACGTGGAGCTGTGTAGAACCGTGTCAGAGGCGGTGGGAGAGGCATCCCAGCAGGGAACATAGGAGCAAAGGCCCCCTGCTCTGTGCAGAGGGGGGGGCAGTGCAAATTACATCATCTCCATCTTTCTGAATCTATCTGCTTCAGCTGGGCTGCAGGAAGGAAGTGTCCAGGGAAGGGGACTGCATTTTCTCTTAGTGTTGGGTTTCTAGGGACCCCTCCCGGCTGCCTTACTGAGGCTGTTCAGTTCAGGCTCAGTGGAGGTTATGGAGGTCTTCTCCATAACTGTCCCCTTCCAGAGGGAAGTGCAGTCGAGTCAGAGCTGGCTCCGTCCAACACACCGGCAGCAGGAAGCGCTGCTGCTTGCTGTTCTGGGCTCTGTGGGCTCCCATGGGTCTCTGCTACTGGGAAAGGGTAATTTGTCCACGTCACAGAGTTGAGGACTGGCTTCCTACTCTGAGTTCTGCTAAGGGAGGGACTGGGACTGATCACGGCTGGGTCCATCCCCAGTACCTAGGATTTGGTGGGATCTGATCATTGCACAATGCTGGAGGAGCCAGTGTGAGTCTATAAAAGGGAGGACACTCGGAGCAGAAAGGGCCATCTCCACTGTGCAGTGGCCCAGGGAAGCCCTGTGGGCCTGGGGTGGAGGGGCTTTTCCACTGGAGAGCTGGGGTCTGAGGGTGGACTGTCTTCTTGGACCATTCTCCCTTCACTTTGCCAGTTGTCACCACTCCAGGCCACCCCCACCCACATGATCCTGGTCAAGACAAACTCTGAGAGGCCCAATCAGAGGGAGAGGAGGGAGAGATGAGGAGGAAGGCGGGAGGCTGAGAAAGCAGTGGGAACCCAGCATCGGGGCCACACTCTGCCCAGCCTGCCCGCGCCTCCCCACCTCCCCAGCCAGCCCAAGTCTCCAGTCATTCCCTGCTCCCTGCCACTGCTCCCGGGTGAAGTCCTGCCCACCTGGCCATTGCGGGGTGGGGGGGGGGTTCATGACTCCTGACCTTTTAAAAGAGGCCCCAAGGATGAGCTGGTTCAGGGGGCAGAGAAGTGAGTGGCCGACTCTCCCGGGGCACGGGACCCTAAGCGGAGCTCCCTGAGGAGGTGTGGCCTGTATGGGAAGGGCTTCTTTTTTTTTTTTTAATTTTTTATTGTTGGTTGTTCAAAACATTACATAGCTCTTGACATATCATATTTCACACTTTGATTCAAGTGGGTTATGAACTCCCATTTTTACCCCGTATACAGATTGCAGAATCATATCAGTTACACATCCATTGATTTACATATTGCCATACTAGTGTCTGTTGTGTTCTGCTGCCTTTCCTATCCTCTACTATCCCCCCTCCCCTCCCCTCCCCTCTTCTCTCTCTACCCCCTCTACTGTCATTCATTTCTCCCCCTTGTATTATTTTTCCCTTTCCCCTCAAGAGGTGAAAGACTTATACAATGAAAACTACAGAACCCTAAAGAGAGAAATAGAAGAAGATCTTAGAAAATAGAAAAATATACCCTGTTCATGGATAGGCAGAACTAACATCATCAAAATGGCGATATTACCAAAAGTTCTCTATAGGTTTAATGCAATGCCAATCAAAATCCCAATGGCATTTCTTGTAGAAATAGAGAAAGTAATCATGAAATTCATATGGAAAAATAAAAGACCCAGAATAGCAAAAACAATGCTAAGCAGGAAGTGTGAATCAGGTGGTATAGCGATACCAGACTTCAAACTATACTACAGAGCAATAGTAACAAAAACAGCATGGTACTGGTACCAAAACAGGCGGGTGGACCAATGGTACAGAATAGAGGACACAGAAACCAACCCACAAAACTACAACTATCTTATATTTGATAAAGGGGCTAAAAGCATGCAATGGAGGAAGGATAGCATCTTCAACAAATGGTGCTGGGAAAACTGGAAATCCATATGCAACACAATGAAACTGAATCCCTTTCTCTCGCCATGCACAAAAGTTAACTCAAAATGGATCAAGGAGCTTGATATGAAATCAGAG